GTGTGCAAAACATTTCCTAGTGTTTTCTACGTTATAAAGTGAGCACTCAGATGAAGAAGTAATCACCCTGTGCTGGTCTGAAGGCTTCATTTCTCTGTCCTGGGTCACAGCCTGTTCTTCTAACCTGGAGAGAGCCACCATCCTGGTTGTGTGAGGAGCACCCTCTCATTTGTGTTTGTACTTTTGTTATCTGTATGAGAAAAAGTAAAAAAGCACTACTATAAGACAATAGGAGCCTTGATTAAGCAAAACTATCAAAAAGGGAGGCTGAGCATGTGTGTAAACCTTCCCTCGAAGAACTCCGTGCTCTTCCATTTACACAGCATCCAGACGGCACTTTGGGCATCTTCAAGGGACACAGAACACTTTTCTTTTAAACGGTCTTTAAGTTTGGGGAACAGAAAGAAGTCTGAAGGGGCACGTTCAACACGGTAGGGTGGATGGGGTGAAATTCTCCTAGGACAGCCTCTGCTGCGCAGATACATTGTCATACTGGGGCATGGGGCGGGGGGTGGGGAGCACAACTTTCCTGGACTTTTCTCTTCAATGCAGGTTCCAACTTTCTTCACAGTTCTTCATAATAACTCCCCGTTGTTATACTGTGTCCTTTCAGAAAATCTACCAAGATGGCCCCTTCGGAAGCTCTCCTCAAAGCCGCCATAGCCTTCTGAGTTGGCATGTCTGTCTTGACATCCAGGACATCCCCTCGGAAGCTACTATTCTGATTGGACCTTTTGTTGTGTTCTGTTTTGAAGGTATTTTAAAGGTACGAAGACAAGTGTGTTCCTGAGGAAGCTTGTCTACAGTTATCCACCGACCACAGTTTAAACACGTTTCGTTTGGAAAAATATCTACGCCTACATGAACTGAAACCCCAGGAGCAATGCCTTTTGACTTATCCTTGTATTAGTGTCAAGAATCGATAGGTTCCGTTTTGCCTGTTTTGGGATGTTACATGAATGGGCTCATACTGCATATGTTTTTTTGTATGATTTATTTTGCTTAATATTATATCAATAAAATTTGCCAGTTTATGTGTATAACTATATTTAGAACATTTCTACTTCTGAATAAATATTCTGTTATATGAGGGCCTTCAAAAGGTTTGTGAGGAAAATTGGTAACAAAAGATCATGGAATTTTCCCACAAAGGTTTTGAAGCCTTTTCATAGGTGCCTATCACAGTCTTTAAAAGACCAGGTTACACTTGGGGCAGTTCTTTGAACAAATCAAGGGAATGGCCACAT